AAAAAAAAAAAAAAAAAAAAAAAATTTGTATAAAAGAGCTACCTCATAGGATTGTTGTGGGGATTAGTTAATGCATATGAGGTGCTTCGAACAGTGCCTGGCACTCCCTGTTACCATCTGTGTGATTCGTTCATGATTAGTTGACACATCAGGAGCCCATGAGGGCAGAGGCATTTTAACCATTCTTGTATCCTCAGTTCCCTGGCCTGGCAGAGATCAAGGATCACTTGTGAATTTAATGGGAGATGCCAGGCTATGGGGTTCCAGGCATGAGGGACACAGCCAAGGTCTTTTCCCTTCAGCTCACTCCTTGTCATTCTCCAGGTCTCAACTGGAGGATGCCACTTCCTACAGGAAGCCCTCCCTGACTCCCTGGCTAGGTCTCGATCACCACAGTGACCCCAGCACTACCCAGCAGAGGACCGGCCACAGGAGAGGAGCTTGATGATAACAGTTGTTTGCTTCCAGTCCAAGCTCTCAACCAGCCCAACGGTGTTTCTCGAAGTGAGGACCAAGGAACAACAGCATCACCACGGTGCTTGTGAAAATGCAGCTTCCTAGGCCTGGTCCCAAACCTACACACACAGAATCTCTGCAGATGGGCCCAGGAATCTGCATTTCCTACAAGCTCCTTCAGACACTAAAGTTGAGACCCTCTGTCCTTGGGCGGCACAACCTTCCCAGGTTATTACCCAGCCTAACCCCACCACCCAAGACCCTCCCAGCTCAGCAACCCTGTGCCATACCACAGGGAGACCCTGAAGGGTGGTGAGCATGGTATAGAAGTAACACCTTTCAAGCACCTATGTGCTCTTCTAGGTGCCGAGTTCTACATGCACATGGAACCAAACACTCCGGTGGGGAGGTCTGAGAAGCTTAGTGGCTACAAATAAACAATCATCTACATCAAGCAGTAGTAAGTGTCATGAAGAAAAATAAAGCCAGGTAAGAGGCCAGGCAGTGACAGGAGCTATTTTAGCTTGGGTGGGCAGCAAGGGTCTGTGAAGTTGACATCTGAACAGAAACCTGAAAGAGGTGAGGGAGAAGCCATGTAGACACTGGGGGAACCAGATCCAGAAGGAGGGGACAGTGAGTACAAAGACCCTGAGGTGGCAATGTACTTGCTATGCTCCATGGACAGCGAGGAGGCCAGGGTGGCTGCAGCGGCATGAGCAAGGGGGACTGGGGAGAGGTAAGTGGAGGGTGCAAGAGCAAGCTGGATTGGATGGGGCCTTGTGGGCATGGTAAAGACTTGCTGAGTGAGACGCGAGGCCAGGAGAGAGTTTGAACAGAGGAGCAACATAACCTGACTTTTGTTTTGTTTTAACAGGCTTCTCCTGACTGTGGGGGTCAAGGGCAGAGGCAGGGGGCCCAGTTAAGGAGGCCACTGCAAAACACCAGGTAAGAGCAGATGACTTGAACCAGAGAGGTAGTAGCAAGGGAGGTCATGACATATGGCTGGATTCCAGATGTTTTAAAGGTAGAGCTAATGGGATTAGCTGATGGATAGACCCTATGTGGGTGCCCCATGGTGTTTGTCCTGAGTATCTGGAAGGACGGACCTGCCATCAACTGGCTTTGGAGGTTGAAGGAGGAAAACCACAAGTTTGGTCTGGGACAAGTTTAAGTCTGGATGTCAGCTGAAATTCCAAGCAGAGAAGAGTCGGCCATTGGATACATGAGTAGGGAGTTCAGGGCAGAGATCCAAGCTGGAAACAAACACCTGGGAGTTATCATTCTATAAAGATAGTGAAGCTAGTGAGTGATATAGAGATGAAGACATTCTGTTGATGACGAAACTGAGGCACAGAAGGGTTAATCAACTCGCCCAAAGCCACAGTCATGTTCAGCGGTAGGGCCAGTGGCAGAGCCAGGATTCAAACTCAGCCAACCTCACCCCAGAGCCCACACTCTTAACTCCCGGTTGTATAAATTTAAGAGTTAATCCACGGAAAACACTGGTAGGTGCCTGGCACGTAGTAAACGCTACATGTATAATAGGCCCTCGCATCTCAGGAAAGCAAAGCCTCATTCCTGAAGGTCTCTCTCCCTCCCCTCAATACCGCTTCCTCACTTGCCTTCCTCCTAAGTCAGAGCTTACAGCTCATCGCAGGGACCTCTGCTCCTCGGCACTGCGCTGTAATAACCTCGGCCTCAAAACCTCCCATTAAATCGCAACGCTGGACAAGGGCATCTCTTTATTTTGCCATCTGCGTCCCCTGCCTTACAACTTTCCCCGTTAAAGACCCTCCCAGAAATACTGAACATCCCCGACTCACAAACCTCTCTCTGCCTCACAACCCTCACTCAGGCGCCCACCAGTGTTAAAGGGCACCCTGCCCCCCGATTCCCACCCTGCCGGGTCAGCTGCCCGCCGCAGCCCGCTCTCCCCGAGAGGACCCCTCCCCCCAGGCCCGCCGCCCCGGCCCGCGCACCCGCCGCTCCCGCCGCCTCTCACCTTCTCCACGGACAGCAATCGTCGCGAGCCGTTCAACTGCCGAAGCTCCAGCCCCGCCCCAGGATCCGGCCTTCTCGCTCCTGATCGGTCCTGGCAAACCCACAGCCAAGTTTCCATTAGTCAAAGCAGACGCCCGTCACTCTGTCCCGCCCTAGAGGAGAACCCGCCCTCCAAAGCTTGCAATTGGCTAACTTGGGAGAGGCGTTCCAAAAAGTGTTGGACAGGACCCTATCGTTGGTCCCCTCTCCAATCGCTACTGGTCAATAATGCTGCTAATCATACAACAGGGCTGTTCCCCGGAGTGGGACGGAGATAATCTCGGAAGTAACCCATTGACTCCGCCCACCACCCCCTGCTGTAGGGTAGGCCGCACCCACGTGGAGGGGAGGGGCTGGAGGAGAGAGTTGGGCGTGCATGCGCACGGGAAAGTTCTGGCGGCGGGTCCGGAAGCTGCGGGAATGTTCTAAACATAAAGACAGGTTGAGATTTATCATCGTTCAATGTATTGCGAGGCTGCACGAAGCACTTTGCAGGCCTTGGCTTATTTAAAGTTCATAACAACCTTGCAAAGTAGGCGATATTATGATCTACAGTTTGCCACTAAGGAAACAGGCTCAGAGAGGTGTAACCACTAGGCTGGGATCACACAGCTATGAACGACCCCTACTTTGAGCCCATGAGTCATCAACAGGGCGGATCCAGCTTAAGGAATTGAATGGGCGTGTCCTCTTTGAGCAAAGGAAAAGCAAAATCACAAAATTGGATATGAACATGAAAATTCACTTAGACTATGAAATAATAACAAATTACATATTTAAAAGAGCTGACATTTACCACAAACATTTCAAAATCCCAAAAGGTAACGTAATGTTTTTATTAATTTACTGGCTGACACACCTCTGTGATATGTTTCCTACTTTTTGGGCTGCGTGCACATTTCATAACATCTTTATCTACAGAGAAAAGAGAAAAGTAAATTATCTTTTCTCTAGGATGTTTGATGAAAATTTTTTTATTCATTATAATTTAGAACAAGTTTTGGCTTCACAAGTCAGTATTGGTAATGCTATCTAAATCTTCCGGAAATTTGGGAAAACTTTCATGAAGTTTCATTCATATGTTAACTATATGATTTGGAAAATGTTTCCATGGACTAACTTCTAACTCAGTCCTTTCAATACCTGATACCTGCAACACACAGATGCTTCTAGAGTGAGCCACTAAAGGACACGTTCATTCAGTGGCCAGGCATAGTGGCTCTCACGCCTGCAATCCCAGCACTTTGGAAGGCCAAGGCGGGAGGCTCGCTTGAAGCCAAGGAGTTAGAGACCAGCCTGGGCAACACAGCAAGACACTGTCTCTACAGAAAATGAAAAAATTAGCCAGACATGGTGGCCAGTACCTGTAGTCCCAGCTACTCAGGAGGCTGAGGCAGGAGGATTGCTTGAGCCCAGGAGTTTGAGGTTGCTGTGAGCTATGATGATGTCACTGCACTCTACCCTGGATGACAGAGTGAGACCCTATCTCAAAGAAACGAAAAAGAGGAAACAGTGAGTACAAAGGCCCTGTGGTGGGAACATGCCCTGATGTGCTTAAGAAACAACAAAAAAGTCAGTAGTGAGTGAGTGGGAGTGCATTGGAAGATGATGTCTGGGAGGGGACCAAAAACCAGGTAGTATGGGGCCTTATAGGCCATTGTGAGGTCTTTTGCTTTCACTCTGAGTGAGATGGGAGCCATTGAAGGTGTTAGACACAGGAGACATAATTTTACTCATGTTTTAAATGATCATGATGGTGGCTGTGTTAAGAACAGGCTGTTAAAATAATGTGGGTATGAGAAACAGTTTGGTGGTTCCTCAAAAAGTTAAACATAGAATTACCACGTGACCCAGCAATTCCAGTCCCCAAGAGAATTGAGAACTGGTGTTGGAACAAATACTTGTATATGAATGTTCATAGCAGCTTTGTTCACAATAGCCAAAAGGTAGAAACTACCCAAATGTCCATAAATTGATGAACAGTTAAACCAAATATGGCATATCTGTACAATGGAATAATATTCTGCCAGAAAAAGGAATGACGTACTCATACATGTTACAACATGGATGAACCTTGAAAACATCATGCTATGTGAAAGAAGCCAGACACAAAAGGTCGCACGTTGTATGATTCCATTTGCACGAGTCGGGAATAGGCAAGTCCATAGAGACAGAAAATGGTCTCATGATGTCAGGGATTGAGGGGAGGAGGGAATGAGGAGTCACTGTTTCATGGGTGTGGGGGTCTCCTTTGGGGGTGAGGAAAGGTGATAATTATACAACATTGTAAATGTGCTAAATGCCACTGAATTGTTCAACTTGCAAATGGTTAATTTTATGTTCATGTGAATTTCACCTCAATCAAAAGAAATTTTAAGCAAAAGATTAAGAAAATAATTCAAGTGAGAGGTGCTGGTGGCTTTTCCGAGGGTGGTAGCAGTGGAGGTGGTGAGAGGTGGTTAGAATCTGCATATATTCTAAAGGTAGAGATGACAAACTCTGCTGTCAGATCGAGTGTTGGGAGGGAGAGAAAGGAATCAGAAATGATTGCAAGGTTTTTTGATCTAAGAAAGATGCCAAGGCGAAGTTTCCATTTACTGAGATTAGATGAATTGCAGGTATGGGGAGACAGGGGGACAATGGGGATTAGGAGTTTGTTTTTAGACATGTTGATGTACCTAATAGACTTCCAAGTGGAAATGTTTAGAGGATAGGTGAATACCTGAATCTGAATCAGCGATGAGGTCCAACCTTGATGGATATGTGCATAGAGATAGGTAGATATTAATAGACAGATATTTGGGAGTCCATCGCCAAAGGAGTGAGTAAAGAGAGAAAAGAGAAGAGGACCCAGGACTGAGCCCCAAGACCCTCCAATGTTTAAAGAGCCCAGGAACGAGGAGAAAACAGCAGAGGGGCACCACTGAGCTAGAGGGAAATCACTAGAGAGGGCTATCTTAGAAGCCAAGAGAGAAAATACACCAAGGAGGAGGGTGTGACTATCAGTGAGACGGAGTGTTCAAATGGTGTGAGGACAGGTCACTGGATTATTCGATTGCATCCCATGGAGGTCACTGGTAACCTCGCTAAGAGCTGATTTGGCCATGTGGCAGAGCCACGGCCTGATTGCAGTGGTTCAAGGATTGGGAGGAGCGGAATCATAGGCATGAGTCCAGATACCTCTTTCTGTGGGTTTTGTTGTAAAGGGCAACAGAACGTTGGAGTTGGAACGTTCGAACAAGAAGGGCTAGAGGGGCATGTTCGCATTGAAATGTGTTTCATTGCCCATAGGAACGGTCCAGGAGAGAAGGGAGAGTGGATGGTGACGGAGAGAGAGGGGAGACTTGCTTGACTGAGGTCCCTGTGTGGGCGAGAGAGGCTGGGGTCTAGTGCACACACGTAGAAGTTGGCCTTGGCTGCCAGGCACGTAAATGAGGTATGTGCGAGAACACGCACTGAAGTGCGATTTAGGTAGCAAGGAGTTGGAAGGAACCCGATGTCCATCGTGAGAGCTGGAGAAGTGGAATAGGAACACACAATGGAATACTACACAGCAAGGAAAAAGAGGGAGAAGCTAACGTCAGGGCAGGGCTCAGTAAATGTCCACTGCTAAATGCTTTAAGCTGCAGTCCTATGAGAAAGGTACCATTCCTTAACAGCTCCTATTTTACACATGGAAAAACTGAAGCCCAGAGAGGTTAAGTAACTTGGCCAAGGTCATTCAGCTAGTGAGCAGTGGGGATGGTACTTGAACCCAGGCAGCCTCTCCAGGGTCTATAAAACGCACTCAACTTGAGCTAGAAATAAGCGTAGCCACCCAGAGAGCTCTCGAAAACAACAAAGAAAGAAAGATAATGAGGTTTGTCGCTCAAGAGCATTTTTACAAATTTAAAACATACATACAGCGACACTGTCTTTAAGGATACACATGGATCTTGATAGAAGAATAGAAAAAGAATTGGAAGGCCAAAAATTAAGCACACAAGAGTGGGTGCCCGTGGGGGACAGATGAAGGGGTGGAATTACTAAAATTAAATCAACCAAAGATGATTGCATAGAATCAGCACAAGTCTACGCACTCGTGGGTCTAAGCCAGGAAAGCATCCAGATCCCCAGGGAAGCAGAAGACCACGGGCTGGGGAGGCGCCCGGGCTGAGGGAGAGGGCTCCGGAAGAAAGGCAGGCAGCATGGCGAAGCCCCTGTAGCCAGGCTGCAAGGCCACCAGGGTTCGGAGCCCAGCTCTGTCACAGTTCCCCTGTTAGCAAGTAATTTAGCCTCACTGAGCCTTGATTTTCCCATCCATACTATTTGTAAAGTCACACCCCGTGGAGAGATGCACAGAAAGCTCCTTCTTCCGCAACCTAAGGCAGGAAATACAGCAATATGGCTTGCTCCTCAATGTTCCTACAGAAATCCCATTTTTATTTCTTTTGGATAAGACTCAGGGTATGATCTGACTCACCTTTGAAGAGGATGACTCTGGCTGCTGGTGGGAGAGGTTGGGCAAGGGTGGAAATGGGGGGCTGAGGGAGGAGGCTCCTTGGAGAGTCCAGGTGGGAGTGGATGGGGGGCCCCCCCGGTGGTGGCGGTGGAGAGGGGGAGATGGGGTCCGATTTGGAACCTAAAGTCACAGCAGAAAGGATTTGCTGATGGAGTAGATGCTGGTGTGAAGGGAAAAAGAGGTGTCAAGGGCAACGGCAAGGTTTTTGGCCTGAGCAACCAGAAAAGTTTGGAATTTATCCCAGCGGCAGCAGGGAGTCAGGGGAAGATGTGGAGGCTGGAGGAGGGGAGGGGACTCGGTCAGATGCCAAAATCACCAAGGTGGCAGCCAGGACCAGGAACTCGAGCCTGAGATCAAGAGACAGGGATGGATTCTAGCCCTGGCTCAGCCCCCAAATCACGGTGGGCTCCCAGGCAAGCGAAAGCCCCTGGTGGACCTCAATTTTGCCAACCGACAAAGCGGCTGTTAGGAATAAAAGACTCTGACTCGGATATCCCCAGGATCA